TACCATGGACAGCGAAAATCACAAATATACATGTCCATAAAAGAATAAACCAAGAACGCCAACTTTTCGAAACCATCAAGAAAAGGAAAACGGCGTATCTAGGTCACATCATGCGAGATGAAAAATACCAGTTCCTCCAACTTATAATAGAGGGTAAAATTGAAGGCAAGAGAGGAATGGGACGCAAGAAAATGTCCTGGCTCCGAAACATAAGGCAATGGACAGGGATTAACGACATACCATCTCTGATACATATTGTAAGAAATAGAGAATTAATGGAAAATGTGATCGCTAACATCCATTAGTGGATTTGCATCTGAAGAAGAAGAAGAAACTTTTATTATTATAACGTAAACACAAACGAAACAAGCTGTCTTAAGTCATTAATAAAAATATAACTTTTGCATAAAGAACTGCTTCAGTGGATGAGAGTTTAATTGTTTATTTTTTTTTATTTACTATTTAAGTTTTTGCTTCAAAAATAATATTTAACTATAACATAAAACGCTGTTAGTTAATATTCTTGTTATAAATTTTAATAAAATTGAAAAAGTTTACATGTTGTATAACGGACTCTCCTCGTCGAGTTAATGGACTCATCCAACTATTTCGTGTCGATAATTTCGTGATGGTTGCCTCAACAATTTTTTTATAGAGAAAATGTAATAGCGTGGTTTTAAAACTTGGAGCAGTGATATGTACAAATAACATAATCTCTTTTCCGGCTAGTAGTTAATAAGGTTATGTTCGCTAATATGGTCTTCGTATGCACTTCACCAATTAAGATTAATTAAGAACCAATTAGAAAGATTAACAAATTAAGTCCAAACTGTTATTATTATTTCTAAAACTTCAAATATTTGTAAATAATATTGGAAAGTTTTGTTGGTGCCTTAATTTAACCAGGAATTTACATTACTTGCATGTCATTATGATATAAAAATAAAATCAATTAAAATTCGTATGGTTTTGAGTTGTATATTCATCGGCGCCCTGTATAACACAAAAATATGAAAATATTTTTACTTTTCTATCAACTGTTTTGACTATGTTATCGTGCATGTTTGTTTGGTTAATCCAATCAAACTACAAATTATTTCCTTTTCCAATGTTATCGCATTGGAGGAGATAGCCCACGGAATTAGATGTGCTTCTTTCTGTCAACAATTTCTAAAGTACATGGCAGACGGATTTAAAATTAGTCACGCTTGTATACAGATCACTTCCTGTTTACTTCTGTGAATAGGAAGGGTTTAATATACAGGGTAATTTTTTTAAAGTAATAATACCCATCTCAAGTACATTAATTTTAGGTCCCTATTGTCTTAGTCTGTATTCAAACTATCTGGATTTTTTAATGTGTTTTTTAATATGTCATAGATTTTGTGTTTGATATTTCTTGATCGTGAATTTAAGGGTTAAAATGGTGAGTTTTAAGGTACAACGAAAAATTAGCAAATTTTAACCTAAAACACCATGTCCAACAAGTACAAAGAAAGAAATGTAGTTTATAGTATGATGTGGATAAAACATAGTTTTATACAAAAAATTTATTAAAAATCCTTTGTAAAATATATATATTAAGAACCCAAACGGGCTAAGTTAAAAAGACAAAACCTTTTCGGAATCCATATTCCATCATCAGTGTCTAAGAGTACATGAATGTAGCCAGTAAATAGTGGCTACTTAATAACTTTAATAATTAACTTAATAATTGAGTCACCCATTTCCAAAATCAGTTAAATCCACTTGAAAAAATTTGTGGGAATAGGCCAATAACTAGTTGCGTACCTACCGTCATAGGGAACGTGATAAAGTTGTTATCAAAAAAAAATTAAAAAATAAAGCTTTTTGCTAAAAAAATTGTATAAAATTAAAGAAAAAATGTAGGCACTGTAAAATATTAAAAAATTATTATAGCTGATTTTGGAACAGTAATAGGATTTAACTACTTTTGAAACTATTATGTCATAGTATTATATTGTTGTGAGGGCAAAATTTTTGCTTTAGTTAGATTGTTACAATAATGAAGCAATTTTTACTGCAAAGTTTTATCCGTACATTTTTTTAATAGTATTTGGTGTCTATTTTTTTAATCAATAGATTCGTCCTCAGCATTCAGTTCAAAATCATCTTCTTCGTCATCTACAGGATCGATTGGTTGTTGCAACATTTCCTCAAAAAACTTTAACTTCTGGTTGTTTTTCCAGTCTGTTCCATAATGGAGATCCAATAAACACTTTATATCTTTAATTTTCGCGTCTTTAACTGCCACACCTTCTGGTATTTCCGGAACAGCTTGATTTCCGAAAACTGTTCCTCTTTTTAAAACTGACTTGGGCTCACCCGTTTCAAAGTTGTAGTTGGCCTCTCCTTGGATCAAAGCTGTGTTTGGATTTCTGGTAGATCGTGTGAAAATGAATTTTTTAGCTTTTTGAAATTGGAAATGCCACTGTCCTGGAGGTTTTACCACAGCTTCTGTGACACTTTTCCAGTTACTGACAGAGCAGTCTGCACCCAGCTTTATCACAGTACAGGTATTTTAATGATATCGGTGTATTCGTCTGGATTGTTGATAACACTGAAATTTTGAAACTGTCGTTCTAAAATTCCAAAGACTCGGTCTGGCGGGATGAACGAATGTCCGACTACAGGAAAGTATAGTACCACCTTATTCACGTTACGAGGAGCATCCTTAATAAGCCAACTGATAAGCATACCAACAACAATGGTGTTTTTATTTTGTCCCCCACAACCATCAGAAAAGAGTTTGACTGTGGTGACATTTTCAAAGTTCGAGTTCTGTAATCTATGGTACAAAGCAGATGCTATTTGATTGGATCCCTTTTGATACTGGTTTTCTGTCCAAAGATAGGAGAATGTGTTGTGGCAATTTCGTGTGGCTTTGGAGTGCCCCTCACATATAACAAAGTTATAAAGATACAACTGACGCTTATAGTACGCAGCCTGATCAGGTATTTTAGGCAACACCAAGTTTTTTTGGCAGTCATAGCTGAACACAAGCTCGTTATCATTGTTCTCTCGTAAGAACATATAAAATTTCTCAGCACGAACTTTATGGACTTTCAACTCCAATTTTAAAGCTGCTCGTTTGTCACCATACTTTTCGGTTGCTGTCTCGCATTCAAGTCGTATACATGTAGAACACTTATCAGTGTATGGGGCATCAAACCCGATATTAAAATTGGTGGCAAACACGTTTCTGAAGAAATCATACTTGCATGTTAATTTGGGAGTTGGATGTTGCTCACTGTACATATACCACATTTTTTTAATGCTCAATTCACTCGGAAGATATTGTCTGTGTTTGTTCTTTGCTCTACAGTAGTGTTTCTGCACTGGTACAAAAGATTTAATAAAAGTTTTGATGCTTTCTTTCTTTGTGTTAAACTTTTCAACGTGGCGGGCTCCTCCACGAGTTTCAGATGGGAGTACACCTGTCTAAAGAAATTTTTGGCAAAGTAACTGCACCCGGTTTCGACTTTCTTTCGAGTATTGCAAGTAATGCCGCTCGACACACTTTAATATTTTCTGTTTTATTGTGTCTTTGCTTAGGTAAGTAGAAACTAGTGCTTACCATTCTTTTTGAGGTACGTTCTGGAATCCGGGTTCTTTTTGCAGAAAAAACCATAACATGTTGCAGAATAAATTGTGTCTTCGATTGTAGGTCCGCATCTTTGTAATATCTGCGATGGATTTTTGTTACGTCTTGCAAGGAAAGCTCTGAGCATCGATACTTGCTTTTGCTTGGATGTTTGCAGTTTGGCATTTGAGGAAATCCCTTTGGACGGTGCCTAAAAAAACAAATTTGTTACACTTTCAGTTACCTAATCGCTTTCGCTGTAGTTGACGTTATGAGAGTTTAGGAAAGATTAACCTGAATCTGAAGGTATAAGTAAAGACGAATAATAACGGATTATAAAAGGTGTTTCGTAAATGTGCCAATAAATTTCAGGGGATAAAAGTATACCTCTAAAAAACATTAAAAATGGTTATGTTAACATACCATTCAAAATGTGTCGTTGTTGAGATACTTTTTTTGTATTGTTTGCCGATATCTCTTAAAATTTTAGTACCTACTGTAGATATGATGAAAGTTTGTATACTAGTACTACTTGATAAAACAAGCATTTTTTTCTAAATTGATCATTTCCAGAGGCGCAGATACAGAGTAAATTTTGGGTTTTTATCCCAATAACTTCTACGTCACTGTAAAATAATGAAGGTTGTTGGCATATTGACGAAACACTGTATAAATTTTTATTATAATAATTACAATTAACTTACCTAGATACTTTTGTAATGGTTTTTTTCCAAGTGGAAGGATTGCTTTTTCGTTTTTTAGCCAAAGAACCAGTTGCCTCTGCTATTACTTCAACATTATCAACGATTTCAGGATTTTCCGCTGGCCTCTCCATGATATTAAGAACTGTATCGTCCAGTAAAAGCACCTGTTATGGTTTATTTTAATGTTTTAAAAAAAAAATAGTGTTACGCTTTTAGGTTTGTCTCAATACTACAATACAAGCGCTTCTATTTCTCACAAAAAATGTTTAACTACCTGCTTCGGTGGTCGATTTGTAACTAATAGTGGCTGTGGCACCGAACTCATGGTCATGTGGGTTTAGTATTTCTTTTAACTTGTTTTGACACCGTGACAGATTTAACTGGTTTTGAAACCGACCACCGAATACATTTAACTGCTTTTGGAACAGTCCGAACTTTTCAGCCGGTATTTTCAACGCAATGTAACTGAGTTTGGAACAGTTTGAAGATACACACATAAGGAGACTAACAAAGAATTCATTGAAATCATAACGTCCATTTTTTTAAATTTTGGATTTAACTGATTATGGAACTGGGCGACACAATTACTAATTAACAAAATAACTAAAAATATTTACTTATTTTATTGGCAAAATGAACAAATTTTAATTTTAAGATTTATATTATTTCTTTACAAATATGTTTTCTTGTAGCTTGACGGCGACCAAGCAGACGTAGACGATGAAGAACCTGATTTCTATGCAGAGGCACCGCTTCCTGGTTAAAACCAGCACCAATAATGATAAATCAAATGTCGAGGTCAAAAAACTATTGTAATTTAATACTATATGAGTACTTACTTTTTCTTGATAGTGGATCTAATGTCAAAAGGTAACTTATTTATACTTATAACAACTATAAGCTATAAAATTGTAATATATGCATCGTTGCATAGCGTTTAAAAATATTTTATGAGTTTTATTCAAGGGTGTAGCAAAACAAAACATTTTTACTGATAGAAAAATTGTCAAATACAGTTAACAAATAATTACCGGTTTTCTTAATAGATTATATTATTCATGAATGATATTTAAAATTTGTTTAATAGAATAAAAATATATAATTTTTGTTGTTTAAGATCATAATATGTAACTTGGCAATAAAAAATATATAATATTAAGAATCTTGATAGACACTGTATATTTTAAACTGTTAAAATTGATTTTTTATTCATATTATTTAAAATATCCTTTTTTCTGTTGGTCTTTTCAATCCGGTTCTTCTAAGAGCATATTATAAACATTTTTGATATGTTTGTCGATTCGTCGATTGCGTTTAATTATTTTTTTAACTTGATATTATTTTATGGGCCAATAATTAATAGCTACCCTGAAAATTGCTAACTTAAATCACAGAAAAAACAATATTCTTTCTCTAAAAGATGAAGCGATTTGCTAGATAACTAAATCTACAAAAAATTGGTTCTATAATAGTTTTGTTATGGTCTTTCAATAGTTCTAACCTTAGCTTAAAAAAACTTACACCATAATATGTTGACGTTTGCACAAAAAGTGGACGTTGGCGTTGGGACAAAATCCATTGTGAAGTTTTCCCGAACTGAAACCAAAATAGGAGAAATTTGGTATGAATTTACTCCAGAATTATGCCGACCGCTAAGTAAATTAACGTCCAAACGAATTAGAACACTCATTAAGTCTAATTGGGACGTTATACCTTATTAAAGTTTATTAATTTGACGTTTGCCGCATTATTTAGTTGTCTGCTAACTTTTTGAGTAACCACACCGTATTATCTTCATTATTACAAAAAATGGGATTAAATGGACAAAATGTAGAATTAAAAAAAAATTGTACTGGAATCAAGAATCAAGGATCTATCCTCTCACCACCACTGTTTAATAAATACACGAAAGATATTTAAGACAGATATGTCGACATAATGAAAGGAATAAAAATCAATGCGATTCTAAATAAAGTAAGCCAAGTGGCTGATACAGCTGTAATAGCAGATCCAGAAGCCTACTTAATATTCTTCAAAACCTACTTGATAAAATTGTAAACATATGTAGTGGTTCAATTTAGAATGAAAGTTAACGTGGCTAAACCAAAATTCATGGTCCTAACAAGAACACCGCACGCGAAGGTCTTAGATAATGTTAAAAAACTTTAAATTTTGTAGCATGAACAGACTTGAAGCATTTAAAATGTGGACTTTAGGAAGAATTCTAAAAATTCACTGTTAATATTGTTCTGAAGCTATTTTCTTGTGGCATTGTATATTAATTACTATTTATATCTGGGAATAAGCCACAATTAAAGATAAAAATACGTTTATTGACGTTTCAATTTCCAATTCGGAAATCGTTCTCAAAATACAAACAGTAAATTAAACAAATTTTGCTTTTTGTTACATAGTGAAAAAATTCTTCTAATAATTTAATTTTATCTGACTCATTTATATTGACAATTCAGACATACATTATGCATTTTAAAGTAGACGACTTAAAAATTATTATTATCAATCTTATATTAAAAATAGAAAATTTGATAGATCTCCAATATGTAAACACGCATGGGATAATGAACATAGGGTTCAATGGAATAATTCAAATATAGTCCTAAAAGAAACAGATGGTAAAAAAAGAAAAATCAAAGAAGCGGCTCTAATTATGCTAAATGAGGCCAATTGTGTCGCAAATTCCTCGGCAGAATGTAGTAGGATCTGGTTACCAATATTGAAAGAGGAAGTTATTAATAAGAAAATACCAGTATTAGTAAGTCAGTTACATATCGAGGATACAGCATTTATGTTTTTTAAATAACGTAACATATAAAATCAGAATTTTGATGTTTGTTGAAGGTAAACAAAATTCACGAACAAATACTTACAATGTCGGGATAGTATTATGAGGTTTTTTTTCCTGGTTTTTCCCTCATAATTAGCTATGGAATCACTAACAGGAGAATTTTACTGTCATCATGTCATGTGTTTGTCTTTTTAAAGACGAATTACATGCTATGATTTTTTCTGACGGATATTCTCAAGTTAAAGTTGATTTCATGTAATCGAATGAACTATCTTATAAGTAAAGTCGTCCCAGGAGCGCAACTCAACAATATTGGCAATATCATTTTAAAGTCGTCTACTTTAAAATGCATAATGTATGTCTGAATTGTCAATATAAATGAGTCAGATAAAATTAAATTATTAGAAGAATTTTTTCACTATGTAACAAAAAACAAAATTTGTTTAATTTACTGTTTGTATTTTGAGAACGATTTCCGAATTGGAAATTGAAACGTCAATAAACGTATTTTTATCTTTAATTGTGGCTTATTCCCAGTTATAAATAGTAATTAAAAATTCACTGGATACAAAGAATGACAAATGAAAAAGTTGAGAAGAAAATGGGAAGGGAATGAAAAAACTTCCACGATTGAACTAATATACTCGTAATAGCATTGCTCCGATCTATCCGAAAGCGACTGATGTACTGCACTAGTGGTACCAACCTTCGTTAAATGATGACGGTACTAGAAAAATAAGAATAGTTATAAGGGTTCGTAATAATCTGATCTGGGCTTTTACATCTAACCATTTCAATTTTAGTTTTGTTCTTTTGTGTTTGTCACATTCCTAATCAGTGCAATGTGTGGGCTCCAATTTTTGTATGTTGTCTATTCTATTTTGTCGTAGTCATATTTAACAATGTGGTGATAGCGTATGCCTTGCCTGAGCTCTCTAGGTATTACAAATATTCTTAATAAATTGCCCTGGACAATTATTTTGTAATGTTTTTGCAAATTTGAAATATTGCAAATTGTACTACATTTTCACAAGATACCGAATATCTAAAATACGGTCCAATTTATGTATGGTAATCTTCAATGATGACTTTTACTGTACGATTATTGTATTTTTTATAAAAGAAATCTATGATTAAAAATTTGACTTCAAGATTATGGTAAACATATAAAAAAGCCTGCTTGGTTAGTTTCTTGTATTTTTTTATTTTTTTTTGTGTCATATGTGGCCCACTATGCATTAAAACAAAATTCAACAATTAAAATTTAAAAAAGAAATGACGTTTAATTATAATAATTATTCAGTGTGAAAGTTGCAAAAACAACGTTGTTTAAGCAAAGAAAAACATTACACTTCTTGGATTTTATGAAGCTTTTTGGAGCACAGGGATATTTGCATATTTGCCTTTCACTACACTATAATGGATGACCATATCCATCTGTTCGTACATTTTGCATTGGAATATTGGTTGTTAGACCCCTTCTTTTCTTGTTTTTCTAAATTTTCCATAGCTCCACACGGACGATCCCTTATTGTAGAAAAGCCAACAAATCCGGGAGATCTATTCCCCCCATATACATGTAGATCGTTACATCTTTTGGACATGGAACCATTATATGTGTCTTATCCTTGTTCGAAAACCTTTTAACTTCAACTGTTGGCATACTTCTAGTATATGTTGATAAAATGTTTACTAATTTGTTGTCATACCATGTAACAACAGATATTTTTGTACCATCAATTGTGGCGACTTTCACTACCATAGTTCCTCGGTCGTTCTTTTTAATTCAGCCTCTTTTGGCATATTGCTGTTTACAACTCTGTTTATACTAACTGTTCCTAGTGGTAATATACCCTGTTTCCTTAGCTAAATTTGCAATAGGACGCCGTTGAACCAATAAGAATATTTTGTGATTTATGTCTTGGTACTGTTTGTGTTTACCGAAGAACCACATTTGAACTTACCCCTAAATCAGGGAAACCATCGGGTACAACATTAGTTTGGCTTCCTACAAAAATGTCATAATCGTAGGAAAATCCGCTGATACCACTAAGAACAAACGACTTATATCCCCATTGGTGGGGTTTTTGCGGATTATATAGTTTTATAGATGAACGTGCCTTTGTTGAAATTATCTGCTCATCTACGACTAAAAATTCCTCGTTCGGAACTTTCGAATTAACTGGTTCCTTACTTTATTTAGTAGTAGGAATTTTGAGTAACTGATTCCTTAGTTTATTTAATAGCGGTCGGGATTTTAAAAAGTTTATCATGACCAAGATTACCGGCAGCAATAGCATCGTTATTGTTCGCAAAATGTAAACAACGTTCTATTTCTTCCCATCTATTGCATGACATAACATCTGATATCAATCGATGATTCAGCTGGAGTTCCCATAACTTCTAGCGTTTGGTAATTGCACGATTGACTTATAAGTACAGGTTCCTAAGAACTGTTCTAGTTCATTTTCAGAACGTTTCAAAGGTTTTTGAGGTCTTTTTTCCACTGAATATAATACAGTTTGATAAACTATCTTTGATTATCTCAGTTGTTCAAAAAATTTTAAAAATGCGTAAGAGGAATCCGCTTGTTGCAACTTAGGTGGCAGGTCAGTAGAACCGAGAAATCTATCATCATCTGATGTTACCAAATTTCCTTCTTTCCAAGTTGGATGATTTTTATTTTTATTGTTTATTAGATTACGTCGTAATTTGTCTAAACAAATATCATCTTCGCTATCCGAACTGCTTTCTAAATCCGTTTCTGGGATAATAATATCTGATTCATTATTATCTATTATATCATCGTCATAGTCTGACTCTGGGGCTAATATAATAGGAGAAATATCATCATCCGATAGCCCTTCGTCTTCACTACCATCTGGTATGTCCACTACCATAAGAGTTTCACCATAAAACTTTTTTGGATCCATTATCTAAAATAAAAAATAATAATAATACCTAGTTCAGGACGCATATTGTGCCATATATGAAAGAGAGTTCTGCACAACAGTGCATATTGTGGCATATATGGCACAAGCATATTTTTGATCAAAAAATACCAAAGTATAAAGAAATACGTGAAAATACAGAAATTCTGTCTTGAAGGTCTATCCTTGAGGTCGCTATTTTTTTGTACAAAAATATTCAGTAGATACTTCGATAATTGAATATCAAATTGCACAATTCTTATGAACAGCTGTTAGACCGCTGCCATTTGCAAATTTCCATAAAAGTTCACTTTGCTGCATTGAGATGGAGCTTTATTATCGGTTATACGAAATATGTGCTATATATGGACATGTCATGCATAAATACTTTAAAA